TGCAAACACACGGTGTTCGGTAGGATTCTGACATGAACGCGCGCGTGTGCTCTTTGTGGTGTTTTTTGCAATGGATTATCGCCGTGGACGACAGGACGTCCATGTCGAGAGGAAAAAATAAGAAAAATGTTGATTTTGTATTGTTTTTTACAGGTTAGGATGGGACCACCCGGATGCGCCCCTATCTGCCGGCCTGAGGGGGGAGTAGGAGTATATTCTAATAAGGAATAAGGATAGGAGTAGTAGTAGTAGTAGTGGTAGTAGTAGTAGTAGTAGTAGTAGTAGTAGTAGTAGTAGTAGTAGTAGTAGTAGTAGGTAGTAGTAGTAGTAGTAGTAGTAGTAGTAGTAGTAGTAGTAGTAGTAGTCGTAGTAGTAGTAGTAGTCGTAGTCGGAGTGTGGGCGCGCTCCCCGTCGCACTGTGGGACCCTCTGGGAAGGGGCCTTCTTGTCTTCTGGGCGCCGGGCTCCACTGAGGGGGCCCTGTTCCCGGCCCCCGCTGTTCTGTCTTCGATAGTGCCTGGGGCGCTCCGCGCGCCGCTAGGGGAGGCCCCCTCGCGCGTGCTCGGGGTGCCCCCCGTCGCGGTTCCCGCGCCCGCGTCGGTGCCGAGCTTCTGTGGGGCGAGCTCTCGGAGTTTTTTGCCGCAGTCGGAGGGGCAGCGGCTTGGCGCGGCGGGTGGGGTGACGGCGCGGGCGGCGCACCTCCTGCTGAGCCCCGGCTTTTCTCCCCCTCGCCTTCTGCATCGTGCGCGGGGTCCGGTAGGGGGTTTGATTTCGTCAGTGCCCTGCTTGAACGGGTGGATTTCCTTTTGACGTGCGCCTACTTTCTCTCGTGCTCCTGCCTTCTCTCTCTCACCTTTATGCTTTCCATCTGGCTCGGGCAATGGACGGCCCCCCCCCGCCCAACTCCTCTTTCCGCCCACCGAGGTGCGGGTGGGGCGGCACGCCTCCGGCCGAACCCGGGGTTTTCGCCGCACCAGAAGTGGGCCCTACCCCCCTCGTCTTCTGCATCGTGCACGGGGTCCGGTAGGGGGCCAAAGCTCAAAGTTTATGAATTCACAATCATGCGCATGCCTATCTTGATGCCCATGCTAACACTAGGACGCTTACCACTACTACTAATACCCCAGTGTTGGTTCTGATGCTAAGCTACTGGCAATACTTCGGTTACCTTTGATACGAGTGCTCATATGTATACTAATGGTCTCCATCTCATGCGACTACAACTGTTACGGGTATGCATGCGACTACGGATGCGAAGCCCAATGCGAAAACTACATGTATAGGGGTAGGGGGTCCGAGTATAAGGCGAGCTATTCAGGGATGGGCGTATCGGGATAAGGATAGGAATGGCGACAGGGGCACAGGATAGGGATACATCGCGATCGAGGGCTGGGGATCGACGGCTAGGGATGGGGATAGGGAAACAACGGGAGGCAACGAGAGACAACGGGAAACAACGCGAGGCAATGGGGGACAACGGCAGACAACGGGAGACAATGGGAGACAACGGGAAACAACGGGAGACAACGAAAGACAATGTGAGACGACGAGGGACAATGAGAGGCAGCTGGAGACATCGGGAGACAATGGGAGACACCGGGAGACACTGGCACCCCACCGATTCCAGGTCCTGGGAGGCCAACGGTTGATAATTTCATGCCAAAGCCCAAGTCAGCTCCAAGACCCCGAACAGGCTTCCAACAGGCTTCACAAGGCACCCAGGAGGCCCCGAGGAGCCTTCCCACAAACTTCCTCCGAGTTTCCTTCTAAATCGACCGCTTCTGATGTCAGTATCCGTCGTCTTTCAGGATGGCTTCACTGCGGCGGCCCTTTCGTCCTTCCGGGCGCCCCTCCGATACGCTTCCGAATGCCTTGAGGCTGCACCCCACAAACACTGCTTGCAAAGCCTCCCAAGATCCCCAAACGAACCAAACGAGGCCGATACGCCCACCTGGAGACAAGCATCGAAGCTTTCAGGACCCCGCAGGGTCTTCACGACCAGCCTCAGCCGTTCATTTTGCCCCCTCATGAGGACCGCTCCGATTCCCGCAAGGCCTTCTTCACCACCTCCTGGAATGGCTTTGGTATGGGACGGGCAGCCCAATGTGGCCTTATGTCGGTTCCTTCTATTTGGTCTTCCCCTGCGAGCCCCCTCCGCTGTCTGGTTTCCCACGCAAGCTCCTGCCCCCAGGTTGGTCCCCAGAGATTCGGACTGGTGTTTTTCCTCCACGTGGAGCCTACTCTGCTTGGTCTGTGCCCCAAGTGCCCTCCTTTTCCTCCTCCTCCTCTTCCTCCTTCTCCTCCTCCTTCTCCTCCTCCTCCTCCTCCTCTTCCTCCTCCTCCTCCTCCTCTTCCTTCCCTCTCTTCCTCCCGTTTTTCCTTCTCCTCCTCCTTCTCCTCCTGATCATCCCTGCTGGCGCCGTTGGGGCATGTTCCCGAAACCACCCGAGACACACGTGTCCCGAGACACGTGTCCCACACTTGTTCGGAAATCTTAGGCAAACGAGTGATCCCTAGCAGTGCCTTCGCCGATCTTTCCGAATAGATGCTGCTTGAGGCAACGTGTGCGCCTTTGGCTCAATATCTTCGCCTCCACGGGACTTCACAGACTTGGAGCATCTGCTTGTGAGAGGCGAGCGTGGATCGTTTACCGCGGGCCTATGGTAGTCATCAGCTGCAACGCTGGGATCAGCGCGTGCGAGAAATGCGGACAGTGGCAGTCAGCTTTGGCACTGTTTAGGGATGTGCGGAATTCGAAATTGAATCCAAACACTATCAGCTACAACACTGCGATCAGCGCATGCGAGTCAGCTGGACAGTGGCAGCGGGCTCTGGCGTTGCTCAGCGACATGTGGGGTGCGAGTTTTTTCCAGCCCGACGTTGCGGCACAGCGAACAAAAGTAGGCGGATCAGCCCTAGTCGATTACAATGCCGGTATCAGCGCGCTAGTCGATTTAAATGCTGCTATCAGAGCGTGCGAGGAAGCGGGCCAGTGGGAGCTGGCGATCTCTCTGCGCAGCGAGACTCAGGAGAAGAAGCCAGAGCCCGACGTGATCTACACTACAATGCCAGGGAAACCGCGTGCCACGTCTGGCTCCTGCGCGCTCCAGGCTCCTCCCCGGGGTCTCCAAGACAGCCCAAGAGGACCCCCATCAAACGGTCCAAGATGGGCCGAGACGCTTCCTGACGGTCCAAGAGGTCGCCAATCTGGTTTTCAGACGGCCCCTCAGGACCGCAAGACGGCCTAAGAGGGCTCCAAGAGGCCCCCGAGAAGAGCCCCGAGAGGTGATATTATGGATTTCCTGAAGATTTTGAAAGATTTCAGCGTTCTCGCCTTTTCGTCGACGCTGCAAGACGGCCGAATGGGGCTCCCAATATTGCCCCAAGACTGCCCAAGAGGCCCCCAAGAGGGCCCCCAGGTAGCCTAAGAAGACCCCGAGACGGCCCACTATTCACCCAAGACGGCCGAAGACGGCCCCAATAGGGCTCCAAGAGGGGAAACTCGAATTGACATTTCGCACCCTCAGCTCCAGAATGACTCCAGAAACCGCCAGCAAGCGCCCAAGTGGCCACTCCACAAGCCCCAGGAGGCTCAGAAACGATCCAAATCAGGCCCCACGAGGCCCTGGAGAGGACCCAAAGCACCCCCAAAACTGCCGGATCCCTCAGAGAGCTCTGGGACCGCGCCGACCATCCAGGAAAATAAGGCGCCCATGCGCCCTTGGGTTTCTCCCCTTCTTTGAATTGTCTCTGGTCTGAAATGGGCGACTCGTAGGGGAGTTCCCCCTGAGAGTGCTTCAAATAGGCTGGCCACTGGGGGCATGCTCCGCACTGCGTTCGAGTTTCGTTCCAGCATACGCAGCCCCCGCGCATCCTCCGTCCTCCTCGGACGGGTACAGCCACCATGGAACATCGTTGGGAAATAGTGCCCACACACTTATGCTTCTTGATTCCCAGCAGTGGCCCTAATCTAGCCTCAGGGCAGCTCAAGATAATCCTTGGGCGACCCAAGACGCCAGCAGCGTGAAGCGGGCGAACAAGCAGCAATAGGCAGCGGGCAACAGCACGCACACATCAGAATTGGCCATCAGCAGCACCTTGCAGTTACATGCAGCAGCAACACGCACCATAGGTTAGCATTACCAGCTGCACGCAGCAGCGGCAGCAGACAGCATCATGTAGTAGCATGCGCGGAATGCAAAGTTCGATCCCCATGTCATCATATCAACCTTTCCGCAGTATGTCCACCACCGCATGCCAGTTCGTGCAGATTTCGTGGACGTAGTCCACGGGTCAGCCCTAGTCAGCTACAGCGCTGCGATCAGCGCATGTGAGAAAGGCGGGCAGTGGCAGCTCGCTTTGGAGTTGCTCAGCGATATGTGGGATGTCAGGCTTGAGCCCAACGTGATCAGCTGCGGCGCAGGGATCAGCGCGTGCCAAAGCGGCGGGCAGTGGCTTTGGGCTCTTTGGTTGCTGAGTGAGATGGTGAGCGCGAAGTTGGATCCCGACGTCATCAGTTGCAACGCTGGGATTAGCGCGTGCCAGAAAGGCGGGCAGTGGCAGCGGGCGTTGTCGCTGCTATTCGAGATGCGCGAGAAAAGGTTGGAGCCAAACGTCATCTCTTTACAATGCCCTGAGCGTCGCGTGCCACAAGGGTGCCATGACCAAGTGGATGAAAGTGGGTTCGGCAGGCCCTGGTGCGCTCCCGAGCGCCCCTCGGGCGCTCCAAGACGGCCCACGAGGGCCCCAAGAGAGGCGCAAGACCGTCCAAGAGGGCTCGAAGATGGCCCCCAGAGAGATTCAATACATCCGAGGCCTAGAGGTTGACACCAACACTAGGACCGGCGATTGCCTCCACTGAGGGACGATGGTCCCGATCTTGGTGATGGCGGTAATATTCGGGCTTCTCAGCTGGCCGAGAGATTAGCACCAGTACCAACATCCAGTATCATCTCCCCACAGTGGGCACCCGGTGTCGGTGCCAGCTTAGAGGCCCCCAGAGGCCCCCAGAACGCCCCCACGGCGGCCCAAGATGGCTTCTCGACGGCCTACGGGGCCCCCGGCGAACCCCAAGACGACTCGAGGGGGACCACCGGGAGAGCTTCCGGGAGCAACACCAATTGATTCCCAACGGGCTTTTGAAGGATTTCCACGCTCCGCCTTTTCGGGCATGGGACGCCCAGCGGCAGGGCTTCTCACGACTAACGGCCTTGGAGTGGCTCGACGCGTCTCGAAGACAACCCACATACAAGATGACCTCAAGACAGTCCCGAGCAGCAAGCGACAGTAAGCGGCAGTAAGCGGCAGCGAGCGGACGAGCAAGCAACGAACAGAGAGCAAGAGAGCGAGAGAAGCCGTGCACGTCAGAAGTGCATTGGCAAAAGGGGCGAAACGATTGCGACCGGCGAAACGAAGCCTCCGGCGTCGCTGGCTCCACGTACAACTCTCGCGATGCATACGCCGCAGGGAGGCAGAGGAGGGAGCGACACCCGGAGTCCAGGACGAACCCAGAGCTGGGGGGAAGAGGAGGGCAAGCGACAGGGGACGACAGCGACAGCCGAGAGAAGGGGGAGGGGGAGGAGGGCGACAACCCGGGCGACAGCCCGACGGAACGAGCAGGAGGGAGAGCAGGCAGAGGAGCGACGCAGGATGGCGGAGGGGGGGGCGACGACACCACCTGGAGGGCATGCGGCGGGGGCGAGCTTTCGAAATTCCTTTGTAAAAGTCATGCATCAAGATGAGAATCAGCAGCCCTTGATGCCAGAAGGCGCGAAAAGCTTCCTAGCCGACGGCCGTCTGGCAAGCAAGGCCATATACCTGAAGGTTCCACGTGTTGCGGGGCCGACCCTTTCGGCGAGCCCCAGCCTGCACGAGCTCGAAAGTACCAGGCTGGAACATGCTCTTGCCCACGGAGCTGTTCCGTGGCATCAAAGCGAATCGTCGCATAAGTTTCAATTGCCTGCGCGTCAGTGTGTCGGTCAGCTGCTGAGCGCAACATCGTTGTAACACCGTTTTGTTAATCACACGGCTTATGTACGAGTGCCTGATGCCCCAAATCCGGCGCACGCGACGCATCCGAAAAGCATCAATCCTGCTGCGCTCTGCTTTGTTGAGCCAAGCAACATGAAACATTGTAGCAACTCAGTTGCTACACGCGCGTCAAAGACTGTCAACTTCTTGTCGGCGGGCAGCCGCGCGTGCTTCCACACTCTGCACAACGTCTCGAAGTCTGCGCCGCTCTGGTTGAATGCAAGCCCGTAGATGGACCCCGCGCAGTGGATCGCCTTTATCAGCTTGGAAGCAGAAGCATCGCTGTTTCCAGCGACTAGGGTGCCGTCGGCGTAGATGAGTTCGCTAACGAGCATCCGGGCGTCTTGGGTTGGCGCGGGTGCTTGGAAAGCCTGGCTCGCATCGTGCATGGGGACCGTCATGACGATTGAGAAGAGGGGCGGCGATGAACGGCAGCCTTGGGAGACGCCGAAGGCTTGTGACCATGGCTCGGACGTCTGGCCCGCCTCCTTTACCCGAGAAGATCTGTCCGCGCAGATGGCCCGAACTGCCTCGGTGAAGTGCCAAGGGATGCCGAAGCGGACGAGCGCCTGCACCATAGCGGTTGGCGAGAAGCTGTCAAACGCCTTGGGCCAGGACCATTTTGCCAGATCGAGAACTCCAGGTGTCTTCGATCAACCTGCGAGCAACGAACAACGCATCCGTGGTGCCGTATTTTGATCGGAATCCGAGTTGTGTGTCCCAGATTCTGCGTTCGGCACCTGCGTCCTTTTATGGGGCCAGGGAGAACCATTGCGTACAGTTTGTGTCAAACAGGCAACAGTGATTTTGGCTGATCCTTGGCTCACTCGGCAGAGTCGCTTGCCTGTAACAGCGCAATGACGACTGGTTCGTACCACGCATCCGGCACGGCCTTATCAGTCCAGCACCTGTTGCATATTAGTGCAGGCCACTCGAGACCTGCAGTCCCTGGCGTGAATATAACCTTCCAGAACTTTCCTGGCATGCCATCACCACCAGAAAACCTGTTCCTTCTCAGCTTTCGCGCAACATTGCGAATCTCCTGGAGAATGGAGCCTTCTGGGACTGGGAGAACTGCGCCTATAAGGGAACGGTGTTCGACATCGGTCACGGGTCTCACAGCCCATTGAATTTTGCAGAAATAATCTGCAAGTTAGTAATCAAGTAGGTATTGAATGAAGCAATCGGCTGCGAGTGTGATTGAACTGCACGAAAAAAAGAAATCAAGAACTGAAAACAAAGTACATCAGATTAGTCTGCAAGTGCACGCTCTCCCAAGAGCATGTGAATACCAAGTGCTGCGGTACAGCGGCCCGGAGTGCCACCGGCTGGTCGCCTGAGGCGGACCCGTCTGGAGCGGCTTGGCCGGGAGGTGCACGTAGCGCATCTCCATGCATGTCTCTGCTGCCTGGGCGGCCGGCGCCCGGGAGGCGGAGTCGTCACGCCTCCCTCCTCTCCTCCACGGCCTGGGTGGCCGTTGCTTTGCTGGCGTTCCTCTGCGTGCGGTGCGGCGTCACGACGCCACAGCTGCTTCCCTCTGATCGCTGTCAACCAGTCTTCCGCTCGAGTCCTTCATGCGGCCCTGATGTGCCACCGAACCTTTCCGCAGTTTCCGAATCTCGGCCCAATCCCCAGAGGCGAGGAGGTCGTCGAGCCACTTCTCTCTGTCTGCGTTGACCGATGCTTTGATCATGCCGTGAAGTCGCTCTGTCAAAATCGCCACTCTTCCTTGCATTCTCTGCGCGTGATCAGCTCCAGGGTGGCATTGCGGATCCATGGTCGATGGCGAGTTGGCAGACCCGTAGGCAGGCACTCGCCAGCGGCGTTTTTGAATGCAACTACCATCGCAGTGTTTAACTCATTTAAAGTGCACCCGTTATAATCTAAATCTGCCATCTTGTTTGATAATGCGGCGTTGAAATCGTCCACCACGCTGCTGCAAGACAGCGCCTGTAAGTCCAGCTTCTCGTTCCGCTCCCACGTGCATGCAGCAGAGGGGCAGGAAATGGTGCCACGCAAGGGCCGCGTCCTTGTGACTACGAACATCGCTGACTGACGACTGCTGGCCCTCAGGGCAGAGTTGAAAATCGACTTGGCCAACATATTCTGACGAGCTGGAGCAGAAGGCTTCGAGCAGATGTTGTAGCCCGTTATTTGGGTCTCTGGCGGGTGGTCGAAGAACGTATTTCTGATTATTGGCCATGTGTCCCACACATTACAAGCAGTAGACTGCGAGTAGAATTTGGATCATGCTGTGCAGACGGGCAGCCGAAAACATACGGCCCAATGTGTGGAAAATTGCACGGGAACTGCCTGTGCAGCCTCGCATTGTTGAAATCCCCGTGAAGTATTGGCCCTCCATGTCCAGGATGTCTCGGAGAAGGGTGCCGGGAGACTGGTAGAATTCTCTCCTGGCCTCGTGTGGTTTGCCATTGTGTGGGGCGTATATGCTGAAAATCGGCACCTTGCCTCCGCAAACGCGCAGCTTCACCACAAGCGCCCTCGAGGACACCATTCTGAATCCGATGATTCTTGTACGTGCAGTTGGAGATATGAGAAGTCCAACCCCCGCTGTCTGCTGGTCGTCCGCGTCTCCAGAGGGTACCAACAGATAACCCGAGTCAGTGGCCTCATGCGTTTACTCTGGCTTGTGAATTTCTGGGACTCTGTCCGCCCTTCCACGTTCCAAGATCCAAATACGACGTCTTTCCTGCAGCGGTGCAACTGTCCACCACGGTAATTGAAATCTTCTGTGTGGCTGCTGTCGCGGCCACCTGCGTCCTCAGTATGTACACTCATGCTGTCGTGAATTCGCGAATCATGTCGGCTCATAGTGGCAGTATTGCCCATTGCCGGAGCCTGTGAAACATTCGAGAGGGCCATTTCCCATTCCCCTAGGCGCCCAGCGGCGCCAGTCTGCTTCCCCTTGTAGTTGCCCTTCGCTGTGCCCTTGGCGCCTTTCGTGACCTTCGCCACACTGGGCACCAGGTCGTCGGATTTCTTCTGGATTGACGAGCGGATGCCCATGCAGCTCCGCCCATGTCTCCCACTCCCCTTGCCAGGCATACTCGATTCCGTCCTGCACCATGTTCGCCGTCAAAGCGTGGTTCCCGCCAACTGTGACGGTGTAGGGAGCCTCGTCGGAGACCGAGATCGTGTAAGGCACCTCCCACACGTCCTTGAGAATGTGTTACAGGCCGAAACAAAAGTTTAGGGCGGCGTGCTCGATGGGTGACCGGTCCTGCTTCGCCCAGATCTGCTTCCCCCCGCTCCGAAGGCCAGCGTGCCGAAGGACTTCGACCGCGCTGTCCCGCTCCAGCGTCGTCCCGAACTCACTGAAGATGATGCCTGAGTAGCCTCCCTTCGAATAGACCTTCATTGGGGGAGAGGCTCCCAGAGATTTCAATCGCTTCTGCAGCCATGCGGTCTCCTGGGAGAGGTCGGAGAGGCCCTCCAGATTACCGATCACAGCCGTCACCGTCCTCTTGCCCATGGTCGGGTCGTGGTTCGTGCCCTTCTTCATGATCGTATGCTCGCCCTACTGCTTCATGTACTCCTCGATGTAATTGCGCACCATGGTCCAGACGACGT